AGTTAGTGGTTTAATATTAATAACTCAATTACTTGGGGGTTAAAAGAGGTAACCTTGAGTTAGTTAGTGGGTTAAACTCATCATCTTTCATACTTAATTATATGCTAATTAGGGTAAAAGAAAGAGGGTTTGAATAAGAAAAAAAGGAACAGAAAGAGAGGGAGAAACGATCGAGAGAGAGAGAGGGAAACAAAGAGGAAATCAAAGATCTTGAGGAAATTGCTTGTTTGATCACGAATCTTCAGTGGAGGTAGGTTATGATTTTTATACTATTCGTAGTTAACTCTTAATAGCGAATGATATGTGTTGGGTTGTATTGTAAAGTCTTTTATATGTTTAATTGTATGCTTGCACGAATATGATTATATAATTGTGATGAAATAAGCATGATGAAGCTATTGAATCCCAAATCTTGAAAACTCCAATCTTGAAAATCCCTTGTTAATGATGATGCCTTGGTATAAAAGAAGGCTTGATCAACTAAAGTAATTAGATTGATATGCCTTGGTATAAAAGGAGGCTTGATGAATTAAAAGAATAAGATTAGTGGAGCGGGTGTCACGAACCGACACGTAGAATTAGGGGATCAGGTGTCATGAACGGACACGTAGAATTAGGGGATCGGGTGTCACGAACCGACACGTAGAAGTAGGGGATCGGGTGTCACGAATTAACACGTAGAACTAGGGGATCGGGTGTCACGAACTGACACGTAGAATTAGGGGATCGGAGTGTCACGTTCTGACACATAGTAGTAGGGGAGCGGAGTATCACGTGCCGACACAAGAGGAATAAAGATAATGAATCTTGGAATTATGTTAATAAATTCGAATGAAAAGATCCTATTTCCCAAATGAGTATGATATGGAGGCTTGAGTCCTCATGAGTGTACTTGACGTTATTTATCAAAGATTCTTGTACATGTTGTTGCTACAGATTGAGTATTGTAGTTGATTTATGATATGATCTGATATACATTGTTTTCTATTTTGAGTTGGCCGATGATATCTACTTAGTACCCGTATTTTGTACTGACCCCTACTTGTATGTTTCTTTCCTTGTTATTTGTGGAGTGCAGCAAACGTGCCGTCGTCTTCAACTCAACCGCAACTCTAGCTAGTCTTCATTACACCGGATTTCAGGGTGAGCTAACGCTTCTAGCTTGGACTGAATCTTCTTGTTCATGTTTCGATGCCTTGAAGTTCCGGCATGGACTAACTTTTTATTTATTCTAGCTTTCTAGATACTCTTAGCTTTAGTAATTTGAGGATAGATGTTCTTGTGATGATGACTTCCAGATTTTGGGGATAATAATAGTTTTTGAGTTTTTAGAAGTTATTTAATTGATTTTCATTAATGAGTTTAAGTCTTCCGCATTATATTGTGTTATTATATTCGAAATGTTGGGTTTTGTATTGATTGGTTCGCTCACATAGGAGGGTAAGTGTGGGTGCCAGTCCCGGCTCGATTTGGGTCGTGACAAACATGGTATCAGAGCATTAGGTTCGTTGGTCGCATCACACTAGAACGACTCTAGTAGAGTCTTAAGGAAACGGTAGGGGGACACCTTTACTTTTCTTTGAGAGGCTATAAGACTTTAGGAAAATTCCATTCTTTTTTTCTTTCTTTCGTGCTATTACTTGGATCCAATTGGTATCTAGGTGATACAAATTGGTATCTGACCATCTCCACTCTATTTCGCATATGGTTAGAACTAGAGCAACAACCGCGCCAACATCAACATCGGCAAGACAAGATGCATCTGAGCCAGCCACTGATATTGTAGCTCAAAGAGGAGCAGTAGCAAGAGGCCGCCGTAGAGGTCGCGGGAGGACGTCCTCTAGAGGAAGAGGACGAACGCCTGGCCCATTTGGTACTAGGGCGGTGACTCTTCCAATGACTAAGGAAGTAGTAAGAGAAGGGGAGGATGGGGAAAATGAACAAGTATAGAATGAGGAATTACCACCCCAACCTACCCCAGAGGTGATCAATCAGGTTTTTGCTTATCTTAACGGGTTATCTGATCAAGGCCAAGCGCCTCTAGTGTTTTCTACACCAGCACCTTAGGCTCCGGAGGTACAACATGCGGCTACTGTGGCTCCCCGCATAGATGCCTCATTGGAAATAGGCACGTTTCCTCGTCTGACTACAGGGCCTATAATGACAAATGATCAGCATGAACTTTTCTGTTAGTTCTTGAAATTGAAACCTCCAGTCTTCAAGGGTGCTGAATCTGAGGATGCCTACGATTTTCTGGTTGACTGTCATGAGCTACTACACAAGATGGGTATAGTAGAATGGTTTGGTGTTGAGTTTGTGACTTATCAGTTCCAAGGGAACGCCAAAATGTGGTGGCGGTCACATGTTGAGTGTCAACCAACAGAGGCACCACCTATGACTTGGTCATCATTCTCTAGCTTGTTTATGGAGAAGTATATCGCCCGTACTTTGAGGGATAGGAAAAGAGATGAGTTCGTGAGCCTAGAGCAAGGTAGGATGTCGGTTACCGCATATGAGGCTAAGTTTCGTGCATTATCCAGGTATGCCACCCAACTTTGTTTCGGTTCACAAGAGCGGATTCACCGTTTTGTGAAGGGGTTAAGGTCAGAATTGTGGATTTCAGCCTTACAGGTAGCGGCTACGGCAAAATCTTTTCAAGAAGTGGTAGACTTCGTGATAGAGGTAGAGGGAGTGAAGCCAGATGACTTCACCATGGCAACGACATCAAAAAGGCTTCGAAAGGGAGGTGAGTTTAATGCTTCTTACTCTAGAGGATAGGGTACAGGAGGTTACTCAGTCCGACCAATTCAGTCTTCACTACAGACAGTAGTTGGGGGTCCACCTTAGACAGGTCAACACTTCTCTGAGAGACCTATGCTTGACTCCAGGGAGTGTTATGGATGTGGGGAGACTGGACATATTAGGAGGAATTGTCTAAAACAGAGTTATAGACCCACAATAGCTAGAGGTAGAGGTGGTCATGGTAGAGGCCGCTATTCTGGAAGACGTGGTGGCCGAGGTAATGGTGGTCACGAAAACGGCCAGGGTGACTGACAAATGGGAACTACTGTTGCGCAACATGGTAGGGGCAACGGGCAGACAGGTGATAGGGCCCATTATTATGCTTTCCGTGGGAGATCTGAAGCTGAGACATCTGATGTTGTCATCACAGGTAATCTTTTGGTTTGTGATTGCATGGCTTCTGTATTGTTTGATGTTGGATCCACATTTTCTTATGTATCTTCCTCTTTTGCTAATGGTCTGAATTTATTTTGTGTATTGCTTGACATGCCTATTCGTGTTTCTACCCAGTGGGTGAGTCTGTGATAAATGAAAAAGTATATAGGTCTGGTCTGGTGACTTTTGTTGGGAGCAATACTTATGTAGACTTGGTTATCTTAGAAATGGTTGATTTTGATGTAATTCTAGGTATGACTTGGCTTTCTCCGAATTTTGCGATCTTGGACTGTAATGCTAAAACAGTGACGTTAGCCAAGCCTGGGACAGATCCGTTAGTGTTGGAGGGTGACTACACTTCCAATCCGGTTCGTCTCATCTCCTTTATTCGTGCTAAGAAAATGGTTAGTAAGGGTTGTTTAGCGTTCTTGTCACATCTCAGGGATGATACTACCCAAGTACCTCTAATTGAGTCGGTTTCGATAGTTCGTGAGTTTTTTGATGTGTTCCCCACAGACCTTCCGAGTATGCCAGTGGATAGAGATATTGACTTCTGCATTGATCTTGAACTGGGTACTCGCCCCATTTCTATACCCCCTTATAGAATGGCTCCCGCGGAGTTGAGAGAGTTAAAGGTCCAATTTCAAGAGTTGTTGAGCAAAGGCTTCATTAGACCAAGTGCATCTCCTTGGGGTGCTCCAGTGTTATTTATGAAGAAGAAGGATGGGAGTTTTCGGATGTGCATACACTACCGGTAGTTGAACAAGGTAACTATTAAGAACAAGTATCCCATTCTTTGCATTGATGACTTGTTCGATCAGTTACAAGGTGCTTGTGTTTTCTCTAAGATTGACTTGAGATCCGGTTATCATCAATTGAAAATACTGGCAACGGATGTGCCAAAGACTGCTTTTCAGACCAGGTATGGGCATTACGAATTTGTAGTGATGACTTTTGGTCTTACGAATGCCCATTCCTTAATGGAAGTGGGAAAGGATTGCAATGGACTTCGTGGTTGGTCTTCCCAAGACAATGGGTAAGTATGACTCCATTTGGGTAATTGTTAATAGGTTATCTAAGTCTGCTCACTTCATTATGGTCAAGGTGACTTACAATGAAGAGAAGTTAGCCAAACTTTACATCTCGGAAATGGTGCAATTGCATGGGGTTCCACTCTCCATTATATCAGATAGAGGTACGTAGTTTACTTCTATGTTTTGGAAAACATTGCATGCGGAACTGGGTACTAGGTTGGACCTTAGTACTGCGTTCCATCCTCACACCGATTGTCAGTCTGAGAGAATGATTCAAGTGTTGGAGGATATGCTTCGCACATGTGTGATAGAATTTGGTGGTCATTGGGATAGCTTCTTACCCTTAGAAGAGTTCTCCTACAACAATAGCTATCACTCAAGTATTGATATGGCCCCATTTAAAGAATTGTATGGGAGGAGATGTAGGTCTCCCATTGGTTGGTTTGATGCATTTGAGGTTAGACCTTGGGGTACTGACCTTTTGAGGGATTCATTAGACAAAGTGAAATATATTAAAGAAAAGCTTTTAGAGGCGCAAAGTAGGCAAAAGGAATATGCAGATCAAAAGGTTAGAGACTTGGAGTTTATGGAGGGTGAACAAGTCTTACTGAAGGTTTCGCCCATGAAAGAGGTGATGCGGTTTGGTAAAAGAGGTAAACTAAGCCCAAGGTATATTGGTTCCTTTGAAGTACTTAAGCGAGTAGGGGAGCTGGCTTATGAGTTAGCCTTGCCTCCAGGGCTGTCCGGAGTGCATCCGGTATTTTCATGTGTCTATGTTAAAAAGATACCATGGGGATGGAAATTGACGTAAATTTCACATTTACGTTGATGTTCATATTGACGTCGACGTTGATATTTAATTCCATATTGACCTCAAGCTAACATTTACTTTGACGTTCATAATAACGTTGACACTAATATTGAATTTGACGTTGAAATTGATTTTAAATCTGATGTTGACATTGATGCGGATATTGACGTTGACATTTCATTGGTGTGCTTGTTTACATTGATGTTCACGTTCACATTAACGTTAACATTCATAATAATATTTACACTTAAATTCATATTGACATTGACATTCACATTCACATTCACATAGACATTGATATTGACGTTGATGTTCATGATGACGTTGACATTGACATATTAATGTTGACGTTTACATTATGTTTGCTTACATGAATATTATCTTTTACATTTATATTGACATTTTTATTTACGTTGACGTTTATATTGATAATCATATTGACGTTCTCATAGATGTTGACATTGACATTCACGTTTATATTGACATTCATGTTGACATTGATGTTACCGTTGATTTCACATTGAAGTTCATATTGACGTTAACATTAAAATTGACGTTGACATTGACATTCATGTTGACACTAACATTGACATTTATATTGACGTTCACTTTTATGTTGACGTTTATAATAATGTTGATAGTGACGTTCACATTTATGTTGATATTTTCATTCAGGTAGACATTGACATTGGAATTAATGTTGATGTTCATGTTCACGTTCACGCTAACGTTGTAGTTGATGTTTCTATTGATGTTAACGTTGATGTTGACGATCACATTTTATTTTACCAACAAGTTGAGGTTTATGTTTATGTTGATGTTCACGTTGATGTTGACATTTATGTGGATGTTGGCATTTATGTTTATGTTTATGTTTATATTGATTGAATTTTACATTTATATTGCCGTTCATATTGATGTTCACGTTCACGTTGACGTTCATGTTGACATTAATGTGTACATTGACGTTCACGCTGAGGTTCACGTCGATGTTTATGTTGATATTCACATTGACATTCGCGTTCACGTTAACACTCTTGTTGACGTTGATGTTTATATTTATGTTGATGTTTCTGTTACTGTGGACATTTATATCTATGCTGATGCTGATGTTGACATTAACGTTCACTTTGATGATCACGTTCACGTTTACATTAATATTGATATTAACGTTGACATTGACATTCACAATTACAATTTACCTTGAAATTAACGTTCATGTTTACATTTATGTTCATTTTCACATTGATGTTAATGTTAACTTTCATGTTGACGTTCACGTTGATGTTTACACTGATGTTCTCATTGACATTCATGTTGATATTTACATAGATGTTCACTTTTACATTCTCATTGATGTTCACATTCACGTTCCCATACACATTGACATTCATATTAATATTTACATTAATATTGATGTTGATGTTGACGTTTACATTCACATTGATAGTGACATTTACATTCACATTGGCGTTCATGTTGACTTTAATTTTGACATTGACATTGATGCTGGCGTTGACATTCATCTTGACGTTGACATTGACATTAACTTTCATGTTGGCATTTGAATTGAGGTTCAAGGTAACATTTACAATGACGTTCATATTGACATTGAAATTCATATTGTTGTCAATTTTGACATTGACATTAATGTTGTTGCTGATGTTGACGGGGACGTAAATGTTGACATTGATGATGACGTGCTCCTTTAGATTGACTTTCACATTCATGCTCACATTAATATTAATAATGATATTGACATCGACATTCATGTTGACTTTGACATTAAAGTTCACGTTTACGTTTATACTCACATAGACATTGACATTCGTGTTAACATTCACCTTGATGTTGACATTGATGTTGAGGTTCACAAGGACGTTTACATTGACATTGACATTAATATTAACGATTACGTTGATGGTTAGGCTTACATTGACATAGACATTGACATTGAAATTAATCCTGATGTTCACACTAACATTGACGTGTACGTTGACATTGACATTGATGTTAACATTCACTCATGCGTTCACATATACGTTAACATTCATTATGAAATTTATGTTCACATTAAGGTTGAAGTTTACATTGACATTGATGTTGACATTGACCTTGATATTGACATTGAGGCTCACGTTCACAATTACGTTGACACTGACTTTTACGTTTATATTGACGTTCATATTTATGTAGATGTTTTCATTGACGTTGACATTCACACTAATTTTTACGTTTACGTTAATGTTTATTTTAACCATGATGTTAACGTTTACATTTAACTTTACATTCACGTAGACACTGACGTTCACGTTCTCGTGGATGTTGATGTTCACGTTGACGTTCATATTTACATTCACATTCACATTGATGATGATTAACACATTGAAATTCACCTTTACATCCATGTTTATGTTGAAGTTTTCATTCACATATACGTTCTATGTTAGACGTTCACATTAATGTTCATGTTCACGCAGACATAGATGTTGATGTTCACTCTAACATTTACATAGACGTTCCTGCTTATGTTTATGTTTACATTTACATTCACGTTTACGTTAAGAATGAAATTGACCTTCACATTGACGTTGCCTTTGACGTTCACACTTAAGTTTACATTTTACGTTGATATTGACATAACGTAAATGTTGACATTCACATTTATGTAAATTTTCACATTCACGTTGATGTTGACAATAACGTCCATATTGACATTGATGTTGTCACGACCCGGATTATGGAATTCGGATCACAACCGGCATCGTTAACCTCTGAGAGGTCAAAAACAAGCCTCTTCTTGCATTCATCGCATTCATCTAGTTAAATTTGCGGAAAATTTATATCTTTTTAAACGTATGAAGTATAAATAGATTTCATATATTTATTAAGTAGTTACATCATATATTAAGCTCAATGTAAAGAACAACCATCTATCATAAACAATCAATTAGAAAAAAAAGTTTAATATATCATAAAAGTTTTCCAAACACGGCCTTATTACAAAGCTTTGAAATGAAAGTATGAAAGAAACATTAAAGACAACATCCACTATAAATGTCTACTAATCGGCTAGACTAAAACTACAGAATCCTCAAAATCAAGAGGACCTACAAAAAGGTCTGGAGAACGGTGATGTCCAAACCTCTTATTTCAAAGCTTTGAAATGAAAGTATGAAAGAAACACTAAAGACAACATTAACTATCAATGTCTACTACTAGGATAGACTAAAACTGTAGCATACTCAAAATCAAGAGGACCTACAAAAAGGTCTGGAGAACGTTGCTATCCAAACCTTTGCTATGAATGTTTAATATGCTCTCTGACCTACACCAATAAAGATAGTAAAATGTATAGGGTTATTACTCCACTTGTACTAGGTATGGACATACGCACACATACACATAAGGACTATCCATGATCAAGGAAAGCTCTTCGTACAACAACATGCTTCTTTTGGAAAATTACATTACTACATTTTCCAAATTTGTTATTTATGAATTGTGGTATGAATATTATGTATTTTAATGCATTCAAAGAACACAACTCATTTTCTATGTGATCACAAGAAATTACAATCATCAACATAATTTAAGACCCACACGGGCGAAAATTTGAAAATTTTCTATGCTTGAACCTGAGAGCCATTTCATAGGGACATAGCTTTTTTCAATCATTTTCTTCTTATTATTGTGTAGTTCAATAATTACTTTGGCCCTATGATTTAGTTTTATGTGCAATGATTCATTGTAGTCCCATGCCCTGAATGAATCATGTAAGTAATCTAAGGACTATGAAATGATTTCACTATCATTACAATGAGTCATTGATTATATTATATATTCATTGACAGTTCATAAGCTAGTCTCTATTGGCTATGCAATTTATTTAATCATTTTTATGTTAGGTAAATTGTGAAGATTTGATTTGTTATTACGTTTCTACTCCCCTTTATTGTCATCAGATAAGAAGTCATTATAAGTCAATCTTATTTGGCTTTGCCCATTATTTGCTGAAACTTCATTTGTATTGATATTGGCAATTGAAATTCTTAAGATCTTACTTTCATAGCTCACTTTGAACATATGTTCCATAATCTTTCTTTCTTGATTTGATAGAGACATCTTAGATAGAGAAGTTCGCAAGTTGAGGTCAAGGGAGATTGCATCTATCAAAGTTCAATAAAAGAATCGACCCGTTGAAGAAGCCACTTGGGAGAAAGAGGCTGACATGCAAGAAAGATACCCACACCTATTTATAGATTCAGGTACTCCTTTTCGCCCTTGTTTTTCTTCTTACGATCGTTTGAGGATGAACGATGGGTAAATTGGTATCTATTGTAACGACCTGTTTTGACGTTTTGAGTAGCAGATTTTAATTCTGGAAAAGTTGTCTTGGTCGACGGACCCCACGACGGACCGTGGTAGGCACGACGGACCGTCGAGGGTGTCTCGTTCCAAAATACTTAGAATTCTGAAAATTGGGTACTGAAATCGACTCTCTGAACTTCGTGACGAAGTGACAGGACGGACCGTCACAGACTCTTCAGTAAATTTCAGTCTCTGACTCTATGACGAAAGCAGCAGGATGGATCATCGCAGGCACAACGGCCCGTCACAAGCTGCGTAATCCCAGGCTGGGTCGGATTTCTGTAATTATTTTAAGGGGCATTTTGGACTATTCCGGCTTATAATTATAAAGTTAGTGGTTTAATATTAATAACTCAATTACATGGGGGTTAAAAGAGGTAACGTTGAGTTAGTTAGTGGGTTAAACTCATCATCTTTCATACTTAATTATATGCTAATTAGCATAAAAGAAAGAGAATTTGAATAAGAAAAAGAAAAGAACAGAAAGAGAGGGAGAAACGATCGAGAGAGAGAGAGGCAAACGAAGAGGAAAGCAAAGATCTTGAGGAAATTGCTTGCTTGATCACTAATCTTCGGTGGAGGTAGGTTATGGTTTTTATAGTATTCATAGTTAACTCTTAAAAGCGAATGATATGTGTTAGGTTGTATTGTAAAGTCTTCTATATGCTTAATTGTATGCTTGCATGAATATGATTATATAATTGTGATGAAATAAGCATGATGAAGCTATTGAATCCCAAATCTTGAAAACTCCAATCTTGAAAACCCCTTGTTAATGATGATGCCTTGGTATAAAAGAAGGCTTGATCAACTAAAGTAATGAGATTGATATGCCTTGGTATAAAAGGAGGCTTGATGAATTAACAGAATAAGATCAGTGGAGCGGGTGTCATGAACCGACATGTAGAATTAGGGTATCCGGTGTCACGAATCGACACGTAGAATTAGGGGATCGGTTGTCACGAACCGACAAGTAGAAGTAGGGGATCGGGTGTCACGAACCGACACGTAGAACTAGGGGATCGGGTGTCACGAACCGACACGTAGAATTAGGGGATCGGAGTGTCACGTTCTGACTCATAGTAGTAGGGGAGCAGATTGTCACGTGCCGGCACAAGAGGAATAAAGATAATGAATCCTGGAATTATGTTAATAAATTCGAATGAAAAGAACCTATTTCCCAAATGAGTATGATATGGAGGCTTAATTCCTCATGAGTGTACTTGACGTTATTTATCAAAGATTCTTGTACATGTTGTTGCTACAGATTGAGTATTGTAGTTGATTTATGATATGATCTAATATACATTGTTATCTATTTTGAGTTGGCCGATTATATCTACTCTTTACCCGTGTTTCGTACTGACCCCTACTTGTATGTTTCTTTCCTTGTTATTTGTGGAGTGTAGCAAACGTGCCGTCGTCTTCAACTCAACCGCAACTCTAGCAAGTCTTCATTACACCAGATTTCAGGGTGAGCTAACACTTCTAGCTTGGACTGGATCTTCTTCTTCATGTCTCGATGCGTTGAAATTCTGGCATGGACTAGCTTTTTATTTATTCTAGCTTTCTAGATACTCTTAGATTTAGTAATTTGAGGATAGATGTTCTTGTGATGATGACTTTCAGATTTTGGGGATAATAATAGTTGTCGAGTTTTTAGAAGTTATTTAATTGATTTTCATTAATGAGTTTAAGTCTTCCACATTATATTGTGTTATTATATTCAAAATGTTGGGTTTTGTATTGATTGGTTCGCTCACATAAGAGGGTAAGTGTGGGTGCCAGTCGCGGCTCGATTTGGGTCGTGACAATATACTAGAGAAAATAAGATATATTTAAGACTTACCCATATATTAATCTTTAATATTTTACAAAATTAATTCAATGAGGACTTAAAAATAATAAACTACCATAGAAAACTATAACATTTTTAACCATTAAGATGAATTTGTAGTTGAACTTCAAAATAATCACCAGAATGAATGAGATGGTTGTTTTCTTCGACGAGCTTCAACAACAGCTTTACAAAAAAGCTTCACTAACGCGCTTGAGCAACAACTTCACCTACGAGCTTCACTAACAACTTCACCAACAGATGCACCAACGAGCTTCATAAATGAGCTTCACCAACAAATTTTGTTTTTCTCAACAAAATCTTCAGATATTCCTTTCACAGCTTCACCCAGAAAAAGGCTCTCTCACATTTATTTGATGAAAGTTTATGAAAAAAAAGGGTTTTAGCATCTGAAACAAATTTCATTTTTTTTCTTTTACATTTTTAATAAGGTACTAATATAATATAATTATTTTTCTAGGAGGGACTAACGTATCTTTTCCAAATTATATTGGAGGGAAATATATTTTTTAGGAGGGAAAATTATTTAGGGCTGAAAAATCAGAATTATTACCGTTTGCATAGAGTTATTTATTGCGACAGTTTTAAAACCTGTTACTATAGATTCTCTCTTGAGACGGTAACGTGGATGATGCAATAGTTTATTTTAAGAATTGTTCTCTTACATTCGAGGATATTTGGCCACAGTTATAACTGTTGAAATAGGTGAGATATTGCTATGATGGTATAACCGTTGCTAAATAAGTGTTGCAGTAAGTCAAATTTCAAGTAGTGACACTTGATTTCATGTTATTTCACATGATCTATGTCATTTTAATGATAAAGATTTCTGAAAAACGAAAGAAAAAAAAGTATGTTAAAAGTGAACATGAGATCAAAGAAGATGATATGTAAGTTCAAAGTGAACTAGGTAAGCATAATCATAAGTAAATCAAATAACCAATGTTTGATAAGAATGAAGTCTTAACAGTTATTGGCTTATGACAATGAAGGGAATTAAATACAAGGGCTAATCAATGCCCCATAATCTTTATAATGTGTAAATGATCATAT